ATTGGCAACTGTCCTGCACACCTGTAATCCGGAACTGTGGTGTTTACGGCACATGCAAGTACTCGGCCAAAACAGCAAGCAGGCGGACAGTAAGATACTTATAGCTACCTGGCATTTTTGTGTTCTACTGCAATCATCACATGAACGGCGGGTGAGGATTGTGTTCCGGCACGTACCATACTGTACGGTACGGGCGTGACGATTCACCGTGTCTTGGGGTTGAAAGGTCAGGCACAGGTTACGGAGACCTGATTGGGAGGGAAAGGTGTGGGGTGGAGTGGGGTGTCCAATGATTGAATGGCTCGACCTTTGTGCGACAGGCCTACCGGTTAACCAACCGACGCCTTCCGTTGGGCAACCTTCACAAACATCGACAAGACAAGCTGGCCAACCCGCGGGTTACCTCATGAGATCGACGTCTTGAGAAGGGGAAGATCCCAAAGCTTTATCCTCAATTCCATGCAGCCATTCACGGACAATGGCCGGCCGGCCGAACAATGACTTGACTGTCGATCATGCTTCAATTGGCACCAAAGAAAGCCACACAGCCGAGGCCCGATGAAGAAGCTTGGGCGGAATGGAAAAGCGATGCGATATGATGCGATGCCATGCCATGCCATGCAATACGATGAGTTGCGATACGGCGAGATGAGAAGAAAAAAAGAGTAGTCGATCGGGACAGAAATAGGAGATCATGAGGCAAATTATCTGTCTCTGCAGTCGACTCCGGGATGCCCGCCTTTCCCCCACCTCTGTCTCCCAGACCGGAGATGCTTTTTTTTACTCCTTCTTCTGCTTGCATTCAAACGAGACCTTTATCTGGAAATATATGCGGAAGATTGAGTGGCACGGTGAACAGGTGGCAGGAAAGAGGCCGAAGAAAGAGATCTGGGCTCGAAGATGTGTGATGCATCTCCGCCCACAACCCGCCCATCTTTTAGTGGGCCGCCTTATCAACCAATCTGATTTGCCCACGAGCGAGCAATGTCATGGCCTGGCGATAAGACGGAGCAACACCATGGGCTTGATTGCCATCGAAGCCCCGGCCGCGATACAGAATATGTCCGCGGAGGCGGAGGCGTCCCTTCTTGCGATGGCGGCAGGTACCCAGACTACCAAAGTTGGTGAGTCGAGCTGCCGTTCCCGGCCTCACAAGACCGGTGTGCTGTTCGCTGTTCGCTGTTCGCTGTTCGCTGTGGATGTTGGGTGGTGGATAACCAGCCAGCTATTCCAAATGGGATGACGCGATTTGGCGTCGAGTGAGTTTTCCTCTAAACTCTTGACCCCAGACAAACGCGGCTTCAACCCTAAATTCCGATCTTGCAAGATCTCCCTAGTCCCTACATGTACCGTATCTCCGGCAGTGCTTGAGGTACCGACCGGTGCGCCTGAGAAAATATCGATCGGGTCGTTGGCCATCTACCAGTTGCCTCCCGCTCCGTTGGGGGCCGCTGCCCATCATACCTGGTACCCAGCCAAGGTCCAACGTCCCAAGATCCAAACCTCCGGGCAAGGGCTCGAGGTGTGTAAGGGGAATGAGTGAGTGGTATTGACGGCGATCTGTTCTAGGTAATAAATGCCATGACCATCCGATCCGATTCCCATCCAATCCCGCCCCCCTTTTTTTCTCCCTCCCCCACCCCCAATATACATACATGATTCAAACCACATCCGCCCCCCCTCTTTCCCCAGTACTTTCCATCCCATGTCTCGTTCATCCACTGCCCCTGAATGTCGCTTGTTTATGTCCCTTGTTGATGTTTTCGAGGACAAACAGCTTTAGACTCAGCAGGGCTCCCCGACAAGGTTACTAGCACTTACACATAACAAAGACCATGTCCCTTTCAGTCCATGCAGCTCAGGGACCTCAGACGATCACATATCGGCTCCCTCCAAGTCCTCCAGCCACCGTCAAGGACGCACATGACCCGAACTCGGACTCAGACTCGGACACAGACTCGAGCTTTGTCAACTCAGCAGACGAGCATGTCGTCGCCGCCGAGACACAAGCGTCACCGCGGCCTTATCCCCTCCCACCTCGCTCTCGGCAGAACAAGGTGCTCGCAGAAGACCTGAAGACCCCCGACAGACACGTCGAGAGAGACCCTCGCCTAATAAGGCTGACAGGCGTCCACCCGTTCAACGTAGAAGCTCCGCTGAGCGATCTTTACGATGAAGGCTTCCTGACAACAAAGGACCTGCACTACGTGAGGAATCATGGGCCTGTGCCGCAGGTGGACGACTCGGAGTGTTTGAACTGGGAGTTCACCGTGGAAGGCATGGTGGAGAAGCCCATCACTATGACGGTGAGGGACCTCCTCAGGGACTACGAACAGCTCACCAACCCCATCACCCTCGTCTGCGCCGGCAACCGGAGAAAGGAGCAAAATGTGGTGCGCAAGACCAAGGGGTTCTCGTGGGGTCCCGCCGGCCTCTCGACCGCTCTCTGGACGGGTGTTAGCCTGGGACAGCTGCTCATGCGAGCCGTTCCCCGGCGAGGGGCCCGATATGTGTGCTTCGAGGGCGCCGACAAACTGCCCAACGGCTACTACGGCACCTCGATCAAGCTCAACTGGGCCATGGACCCGAACCGCGGCATCATGGTGGCCCACAAGATGAACGGCGAGACCCTGCACCCCGACCACGGCAAGCCCGTGAGGATGGTCATCCCGGGGCAGATTGGGGGACGCAGCGTCAAGTGGTTGAAGCGCATCATCGTCTCGTCCGCTCCGAGCGACAACTGGTACCACATCTACGACAACCGCGTGCTGCCCACCGTGGTCAGCCCCGAGGCGAGCGCCAATCTCCCCGACGTGTGGAAGGACGAGCGGTACGCCATCTACGACCTGAATACCAACAGCGCCATCTGCTACCCTGCACACGATGAGCGCGTGTCCCTGGCAGAAGATGGCCCAGAAATGTACAAGTTCAGGGGCTATGCGTATGCCGGAGGTGGCAAGCGGGTGTCCAGACTGGAAGCCACCCTCGACCAGGGCAAGACTTGGATTCTCGCCAATATAACATACCCTGAGGACCAGTACCGACTCGCCCCGGAGGACGAGACTCTGTATGGCGGCCGCGTCGACCTGTCGTGGCGGGAGGCTTGCTTCTGCTGGTGTTTTTGGGACCTGGATATCCCCCTCGCTCAGCTCGAAGGCGCCAAGGACGTCATGATCCGAGCAATGGACGACTCCATGATGGTGCAGCCTAGGGACATGTACTGGAGTGTCTTGGGGATGATGAACAACCCCTGGTTCCGCGTTGTCATCCACAAGGAGGGCCACTCGCTGCGGTTCGAACACCCCACGCAGCCAACTATCGTCCCAGGAGGCGGCTGGATGGAGAGGGTCAAGAAAGAAGGCGGAGATCTCACCAACGGTTTCTGGGGCGAAAGGCTGTCAGCCGATGAAGGAGTCACAGCGGTCGATGAGCCGCCCAAGGAAATATGCATGATTAACCCCCAGGTCACCCGCAAGATCACCATCGACGAGCTCCGCGCCCACGACGGCGAAGCCGAGCCCTGGTTTGTCGTCAACAACCAGGTCTACGATGGCACGGGTTTCCTTGAAGGCCACCCAGGAGGAGCAGCATCCATCATTGGCGGCGCAGGACAGGACGTGACAGAAGAGTTCCTCGCCATCCGTGAGCACCTCCCCTCCCAACCCCTCCACCCAATGAGAAGAATGAAAGGGAAAAAGAGGAAAAAAGAAAACCAATGTTAACAATTCACCCCCCACATCAGACAGCGAGAATGCCAAAGCCATGATGTCAACCTACCACATCGGCGCCCTCTCCGCCGAGGCCATAGCCGCCCTAGCCTCCAGCTCATCCGACCTCGCGACCTCCACTACGCCACGCCCCGTCTTCCTCCAGGCCAAGGCGTGGTCGCGTGCCATCCTTTCGCGCAAAAAGCGTGTCTCATCCGACACCAAGATATTCACCTTCACGCTCGACCACGAGGCGCAAACTATTGGCCTCCCCGTTGGCCAGCACCTCCTCCTCCGGCTGGTCGACAACAACGAAGCCATCATCCGCGCCTACACCCCGCTGTCCGAAGGTACAGCGACCGGCGCGCTCGACGTGCTGGTCAAGATCTACTACGACAGCCCGCAGGGCAAAGGTGGGCGGATGACGCAGGCGCTGGACGGACTGCCACTTGGCGTGTCCGTCGAGTTCAAGGGCCCGGTCGGCAAGTTCGAGTATCGCGGGCGCGGCGTCTGCACCATCGGCGGCCGACCACGCACCGTCAAGCGGTTCGTCATGGTCTGCGCTGGGTCGGGCATCACGCCCATCTTCCAGGTCTTGCGGGCCGTCATGCAGGACCGCGCCGACGAGACCCAGTGCGTGGTCCTGGACGGCAACCGCGTCGAGGAGGACATCCTATGCCGCGCGGAGCTGGACCAGATGGCTGCCGAGAACCCCGGCAAGTGCAGGCTGCTGCATATGCTCAGCCGGCCCGAGGCGTCGTGGACCGGCCTCAAGGGGCGGATGGATAGGAGCTTGTTTGACAAGGAGGTTGGTCCGCCGAGCGACAAGCGGGATACCCTTGTGCTTGTGTGTGGGCCCGAGGGGCTGGAGAGGACAGTCAAGAGCGGGTTTGGGAGCCTAGGCTGGCTGGAGGAGGATTTGGTATTTTTCTAGGTGTTTTATGTCGTCGTCTGATGGGAAGCGGGTTTATTCATTTATTTATTCTTGGGTATATATACACAAACGGGTACATTGGATACATGCGTACCTATCACGGACAGGTATTGGGGTCTCATAAAATATGCTTTCACTACATCACATATTCAACAATTATACACACACGGTATATGCGATATCCATGCATGGACGAGTGGGCGGTTAAGTACCTGGTACTAGGTAGGTGGGTACACACATGGCCCCTGACTCAAACAAATTACAAAAAGTTTCTCTCTCGCTTCTCAAAAAAAGGCTGTGATGATCCGCTTTTGCCGAGCCGCAACACATCAAAACCCACAACAATCTGGTTCCATCCAGCCCGCATAGCTCAGTGGTAGAGCGCGTCACTAGTAATCGCTATCATCTCTTCTCTCCAAGAAGAGATTATATCCATACCATGACGAGGTCTTCAGTTCGACTCTGGATGTGGGCAAATTCATATTTTTGTCTCTCTCTCTCTCTCTCCCTCTTTGTCTTTTTTGTGTGCTGTTGTAGTTCTTCTTTTTCTTCCTTTTTTTTTCTCTCTTCATCTCTAGCAAAACACCGACTTCGCAAAAACACCCACTTCACTTGCCCATCATTTCTTTCATTTTTCAAGATAAAACAAACAAATTCTAGCTTGCTTGCTTGTTTGCTTCCTCCATGAACGAACTAAACGCCAATCTTTGTCCCATCAACTCCTCCCTCCAAGTAGGAACCCGGACCACAGTGACCCGCCCGTCCCACACTCGCAAGCAACGGACGGGAAGTAACGCCAGTTTAAGTCGGTCCAGCACCACACCAGGAGGCAGTTTCGGTAATAAACCGTGAACCGAGAAACCCTGATCCTGGTCGTCTATCATAATCCAGATTCCATTCTTTTCTGTCTTATTTTTTAAATCTACTCTCTCACCACGCCACAAGCCCAGCTGGCATCGGGACCGACCGCATGTTCTTCCCATCCCAAGAATAGCAGCTACCAATCTAGCCAGCTACCATAGCCACGCCTCCCCAGCCAGCATCTTTTCCATTTTTCTTCCCGACCCCCGCCCCACCGTCTACCCATGTCATGTCATGTTATGCGTCCATGCCTAGAGCTTTTGTAACCAGAGAGAGAGAGAAATCGATCGAGCAAAAGGAGAACGAAGCCATCATGATGGAACAAACCCAGGATAAAACACGCGCACACACATAAAACAGCGCACACAGATAGAGATAAAGTGCTAAGAAGTGGAGAAGAGGTCAAGATTGAAAAGGGAGAACAAATTGGTACATGATGTAGATAGATATGGTGAAGACGTAGAAGAACGAATAAGGAAGCAATCAAAGGCAAAGCTAGCTAGGGCTGACCCCCTCCCATATCCGCCTACGCGATATCAAAGACGGGCTTCAGCTTGACAATGAGCTGCCACTCATCATTTGACACATCCTTCCTGTAGAACTCCTTGAGGCAGTTGATGCTGGCACGCGAGATCAAGCTGTAGAGCGTATCCTTCTCCTCGAGCTGGCGGCCGTACGTGGGCTGGTGGCCGCCCATCTCGATCTTGATGGCCACCGAGGGCTGGCCCTTCTTGCAGATGGGGATCTGCTTGTGCTCTCTCTCGATGGAAGTTCTATCGAGTATTGTCAGCATTCAGGCGCACATACCTAAGTAAGAGGGAGAATGGGAAGGATTTAAACTTACACCCTTCCGACCTGGATAATCTCCTTCATGTTCGTGGTGGGGTTGTTCTTGACCACGGCAAGAGGGGTACCGATCCTCAGCTGGCCCTCAGCGACATCGACTCCGATGACGATAGGACCCGACTTGTTGAAGACGGCGACGGGGTTCAGGACGCAGGGGAAGACAGCAAGAAGCTTGGACTCCTCCTTCTTCTTCTCTGTGAGCTCGTTCATGTGCTTGGTGAAGGCATCAAACAAGTGGTAAATAATGTCGGCCGTGAAGATCTTGACGCCGTTGTCATCGGCATACTGTTGGGCCTCCTTGTCGACCTTGACGTCGAAGCAGAGCATGACGGCGAAGTCAGGAGCCTTCTCCAACATGGTGCTGCACTGCATGACATCGCGCTTGAACACGGGGCCAATGCCAACGTTGGCGACGGGGATCTTGCACGTCTTGAGGAAATCAAGCAGGGCCTCGAGAGAGCCGAGCGTCGACGCCTGGACACTTACACCGCGACCAGACTTCTCAACACGGCTGAAGAGGGTGGCGAGATCAGACTCAACCTCCTCCTCCAGATCCGACTCGTCATCGTCAGGGCCGACAACGAGCAGACGGGAACCGGCGATGGCACCCTCCAGACCGGGGGCGCTGATCTTGACTCCCAAGGCTGCCTTGACTTCCTTGTTGTGCACGTAGGCCGACTTGAGACGGAGCTCCTTGAGCGGCGCAGGTGTAAGAAGGGCTCTGATGTTGGTCTTGATGGCTCCCTCAGTGCCGCAGAGGACAATGCGGTCGCCCTCCCTCAGGATACCGTTGGACAGAATGACATCGATGGTCATGCCGAATCCCTCGATCTGCTTCACCTCGAGGACGGTCGCCTGGACCTCGGACAGGTACATGAGCGAGCCCACCATTCTCTCCTGGGTCAGGGCCACAATCAGCTTCAGCATGTCAGGGATACCCTCGCCGGTGTGGGCGGAAGTGGGCACCAGGGACACGTATTTGGCCATCGACTTGTTCTCGTAAAAGAGCTCCGAGTTGAAGCCCTGCTCGGCAAAGGCGACCTTGGTCTGCTCGAGGCGCATCTTGAACTCGTTCTGGACGGCCTTGTTCTGCATCGACAAACTCTCCTGGAATCCGTTGTTGTCAATCTTCTTCCAGCCATAGAGACGATCAATCTTGTTGAGCGCGACGATGAAGGGCGTCTTGCGGTCGCGGAGGAGCTTCATGGACTCCAAAGTCTGGGGCTCGAGACCGTGCATGATATCGACGACCAGGATGGCGATATTGCAGAGCGACGAACCACGGGAACGCAAATTTGCGAAAGACTCGTGCCCGGGTGTATCGATAATCAGGAGACCAGGGACCTTGAACTCAAACTTGCCATCCTTGTTGACGACGGCGGTCTTTGTCCTGATGGCGTCGACGGGGAAGTAGGTTGCACCAATCTGCTGAGTAATTCCACCTGCTTCACCCTCTTGGACATTGGTCTGACGGATCTTGTCGAGCAGTTTTGTCTTTCCGGTATCGACGTGACCAAGAATACAGCAAATGGGCGAACGCAGGTTGTCCTTGGACCGGGCAGCCATTGCCGCCTCGTGTGCCTTCTCACGGCGCTCGGCAGCCTCCCTCTTCCGCTGCGCCTCCGCAAGCTGGCGCGCCGTCTCTTGCTCATCTTCTGAGGACTCATCGTCCTCAGAATCTTCTTCCTCGGAATCCTCTTCCTCTTCGGAGTCTTCTTGGGGCTTTGTCCGTGAGGGCAGCTCCTGTGTCTTCCCATTGGCGGGCGCAGCAGCAGCCTTCTTCTCCTCAGCCTCATCCTCAGTGTCGGCGTCCCAGCTGTCCTTGGGCTCATCTTCCTTGTCCGAGGCAGCAGCGGCCTCCCAGTCCTCATCAACGCTGTCGTCGGCCGCGGCCTCGGCCTTCTTAGCAGCAGCCTCTGCTTCGGCCTTCTCACGCTCGATGCGGGCCTTCTCCTCTGCCTCCTTGGCAGCAGCCTCAGCCTGTAGTCTTGCACGCTCGGCAGCCTCCGCCAAAACCTTCTCCTCGTCGACCTAAAACCACAATTAGCCTCGGTTTCCAACAGGGCGTTACCAAGCAGATAGACAAACCTTCTCAACCTTGCGGCCAGCATTCCTCTTCTTGGTGTCGACCTTCTTCTTTTGTTCGGGCTCACCCTCGCCGACAGGGCCAACCTTGATGCCCGCAGCAATCATCTGCTGGAGCTTCCTCTCATTGCGCGCCTTCTCCTCTTTCTGGGCCTTGGTCATGAACTTGCCCTCCTTCTTGAGCTGCTCGATCCGCTCTTTCTCCTTCTGCTTCTTGCGCGCCCTCTCCTCCTCCTTCCTCTTGGCCTCCTCCTCGGCCAGGCGCTCCTCTTCCTCTATCCTGGCTTTCTCGGCGGCCATGTATGCCTCGTCCGCCTCCTGCTTGCGCCGCAGCTCCTCCTGCTGTCTCTGGATAGCCAGCAGGTGGGCGGGCAACTTCTTCTTTTTGCCATCGGCAGCAGCAGAGGGCGCCGCAGCGGGTGTGGAGATGACGGCCTCGGCCTTCTTGTCTTGCACGGCAGCCTTGGCGGGCTCCGCCTTGGCGGCGGCGGGCTTTGTCTCTGCCTTCTTCTTCGCAGCCTGCTCCTTTTTGCGCTGCTTCTCCCTTTCCTTCTTGAGCTTCTCCTTCTCGGCCTTGGTCAGGACCTTGCCGTCGGCGCCCCGCTCGTCGTCGTCCTTCGCAGCAGCAGCAGGCTTCTCCTGCTGCTTACCCTTACCACCCTTTCCCTTCTTGTCGGGGAGCGCGAACTCGTCGTCCAGGTTCGCCTCCTGGGGGCCTTCTCGGCCAGGTAGAGGACAGGCTCGTTGTCGACAACCGCCTCCTTCTCCGCCTCGGGGAACTCTTCGCTCAGGCCCATCTTCTTGCGCTTCTCCTTCTTCTTGCGTAGCAGGTTCATGAGGCCGCCAGAAGCGGGCTCCTCGTCCTCGCCTTCGGCGGCGGCATCGGTGTTGGCGGCGGGAGGGGCAATGGACTCGCCAAGCTCAGCCTCCCAGTCGTCGCCGCCCTTCTTGTTTCCCTTTTTCTTGGGCGCCATATTTGCGGTCGGGGTATCTGTATGTCGGGTGCACAGTGGACAGAGGGAAGTCCTGGATATGGTGAGTGAGATCGGTCCGGAAACGAAGCGATCGTAGAGCAGTTAAGAGCCGCTAGAGGGGAGGCAAGGTCAGAAAGTTGGGTAACTTTAGGTGTGTGAGGTTGCAATTGCGGGCGGCGTGCGTGGGGCAGGGACAGGGCAAGCGGGGATAAGCGCCCGTACAAAGTTGCTCCTACCTTTTTTTTCTCTTTTCTTTCAGGCGTTGGCCGGCAAAGTCTGTTTCTGGTCAAAGGGAGCGGAGAGATTTTTCGACACAACAATGCCTCTTGCGCCGATCAGGAAAAAAGACATAATAACTTGAGCTAGGGAGACGCTGCTCCAAAATGACCAGGATCGCACGCTCTGGCGGGCGGCGTTGACTCCACTACGAGAACAGACTTCTTCAGTTCATCTGCCCCACTTACGGATGTCATTCTTTTGTGGGGGGGATGGCCCTACTTCCCCGCTATTATCAAGGGTCAAAACCAAGAATCAAAGCACGGTCCAGATGGTATAGGGTTAGGGTTATTCCCAATCACAAGACAAGGTTGCGAATGCCTTTGCTTTTACGCTTTGGTGGCCAAGTTTGATCACCCCTTCAGCTGCTGTTATCTTGTCTCCCATGGATACTCAAGTGTCTTATTTGTGACCCAAAATGCAGTTTCATAAA